TTCCAGCTTTGGAAATACCCATGTGAAGGAGAAGACTATAGAATTGGAAAAGGAAGAAGTGGTAAGGCAGCAAGGGTACCCCAGGACACACGCCTGATGTGCATTTCTTGGTAAACACCAGACCCTTCTACAACAATTTCCAAAGTTGTATGGATTATACCTAACGGCGAGGCTTTGACAGTCCCTCAGACTTGCCTGCTGCACACCCATCCCTCACAAAGGGAGACAGAACCAAGATACTCAACTCTACAAAAAATGCCTTTGAACACGCATTATGAAAGAGGCATCAGCTAAACAGATTTCATAAGTGAAAAACTATAGTTGCCTACACAGAAAATGGAAAGTGAGGAACAAAGTGAGAGAAAAATAATTTCTTTAACAGGTATTTGCCTAATTCACACTAAATGGGAAAATGATCCCTATCCGCAATACAAAATTGCACTCTTATAAACACAGAAGTCTACCAGAGCAAGAATTGAAAACAGAGAATGACCCACCTGAGGCAGCTTCTTGTGAGCGCAATTCATTCCTCCAATGAAAATCATGTTGGGCATCAAAGGTCTTGGATAATCTAACACAAAATCTAACCTCACGAGCCAAATAGAAGCCTTGCGTAAGAGATCTGACACACTCACATCCCGCTGAAGGAACTCCGAAGCCAGCTTTGCATATGGTTGAAAGAGAAAATCACAGAGAAAATAATTTGGGATGTCAAAGATTAGATTCTTCACGCGCTGGAGAAAGTTCATGTGGTCTACCAGTCCTGTGAATGTCCTGGGGACATAAGAAGGGGGATTGGGACATTGAGTGGCTTCAAATTCTAAACCACACGGTATGCCTCGCAAAAAGAACACGGAAGGGACTGACAGATGTTCAGCCAGGATCTGCCCACAGGGTAGAAAAGGGTCTGTAATGACGGCATCACACTTGCTCTCCTCAAGATATCTTAGAAGCTCTTTGTTGAACAGTAAATGTTGACATGTAGACAGGAACATGGCAGAAGTTTTTTTTTGCCGCTCATAAAATGTAACAACTCTTTCCACAAAAGAACCTTCTACAAATATATCCTCTGAGAATCCCTGGAAGTTTCCATCCATGTCTTCCTGTGTGAAAGGGACTGGGTACATTTTCATGACAAAATTCTTCATTGGCTTTATGTGTAAATTTATCTCTGGTGCAACGACGACTATTTCATGTCCTTTCTGACTGAGATGGTTTAAAACCTCCCGCATGCTGAGCCAATGACTCCCATCCATTGGCCCCCCCAGCGCCCAACCTGCGCACAGACAGGAGAAGAACCAGCGTCGCCGTGACCTGCGGATGAGCACTGAGAACCACGGCCATTTCTGCAGCAACCTGGTGAGTGCTGCCCAGAAAGCAAACCCCTGGCAGCACTGAAGCAATAGCACCAGCTCTGCACTTTTAAACAACCACCTCTGCTACAGCCCGACTTGTGATCCTTGGAGATATTTGCTCTGTGGTAAATGAATAATCATTTGTTTGGTAAATGGCTGCATAATAAGCATTCATTCCAGCCAAGTCCACAGGCCGGTGGCAAGTGACACACCTGGTAACGCCCATCTGCTTCTATCAGAAGAACAGTAAGGAGTGCCCCAAGAAGGAGGCAAGGGTGCTTCTGGGTGGGTCTGATAGCTCCCCTCTGGCTGAACCTTTTGCAAGTGCAGGAGATGTGTCACATCCACATCAACACTCAGCCCAGCAGAGGCTAATCTCTCCTCCTGCAGAAGAAAGACCTGTCCCCTCTCTCCCTCTCTCCTTGAAGACTCATCACTAGGATGCCTGTGGCCCCATGTGCAGATGTGGAAGAGCTGTTTAAGGTTACTTCTGGAGTGAGAACACTGATGAAGACGGACATGTGACAAAAAGGATATGTTAAGCATCAAGGGAGTTAAGCTGAGTACTACAAGTTCCGGAAATTGACAGATGAACGATGGGTGGTATGAAGTTTCCTGTTCCCTCATCAGCCTGTTAAGACTTCTTCTACAATGTCTTTTCCTCTGAGACATCCTAGATGGGAAAGGTCCACCAACGTCTTATTTTGGGAGCAGTGCTGGGTCCATCTCCTTCCTTTTCTCCCTGATGTTTAGTGGGACACCTGTGCTTCCAGATGCAGGGGCAGCTATTTCACACTGCTTCTGCCTGTACACATCTGCAAGCATGCAGAGCCACTGACTCCCACCTAGCAGCGCAATGAAGCAGCTCCTTGTGAGGCAAGGGGCCTGGCAGAGAATCAGCCCTGCAGCGATTTGAGATTAGGGAAGAGAATGGCACCTTCTCAACCACACTGTGCTGAGGGATGCACACATAAGCTCTTGTTGGTTCTTGTTGTCAAAATGTTAAGAGCACTTACATTACAGGCATGTAGCAATGCTGATGCTTCCACTGAGGACCATTACTGGCCTAGGATATGCAAACCAAGGTAACGTTTCTTCAGCCGAATTGAGGGATGGCTGAAAAGCTGGGCATTGCCGAATCTGATAGGACTCACGATGGAGATGCACTGCTACCCTGTGACTATATCCACCTGCAAATCAAGCACTCTGCTGATTGATGGCACCTTCTAAACCAATGTATTTTTTCAGTCTACCGTATTCCAAAATGCAGGAAAAACTTCTTCACAGATAAAAAATGGCTGAGGAATGAACATCAAGCTTTTCCTGTCCCTTTGGGATGAGCAGCTCCACTGCCTGACTCGTGCTGGGCCAGGGACTTCCATTCACTAGGTTTTCTAACAGGCTTCTACACCCAGGGGGAATGAGGGGAAAGGAGGATTCCTGATCCAACTGGCCCCCAAAGCTGAGAGGAAAAACTTCTCATCCGTATAAGTGTAAAAACAAGAGTACTCTGCCATAAAGCCATAGGAACACTGATTTTTCTGGAAGGTACTTGGCTGTGAAAGTTACTAGTTCTAAAGAAGATGTTTGTGGAAGCAGGGCAAAATACATTGTCAAAGCTAAGGAGGATGCCACAGCTGAGACCTAGCAGGCTCTGTGAAGCCATTGTAAACTCGATAGTGGAATTAAATGCCAGGACAGAACTTGCAGCTTAGATCCCAGAAACCAGCTTTATGTCTAAGGACAACTCACACAAAGCAGAAGCACAGTGTGAGCAGCAGTGCCCGCGAGATCAGTGGGAGGAGGAGGAGTTTCACAAAGCAAACGTTGCCATGGGCTCTTGCTGCTGCAGCAAGTGAAGAGAAGAATCTGCCATAGGAAATTGGTTGTTCTCCTCCCAGCGGACAGTCAGAGAAGACTCACAAGCACACAGTCATCCTCCAAGTAAAGACAAATGTGATAGAGCAACATGGGGTATTCATATAGACAGTTCCCTCACGGCACACATGTTACGCCTTTCCCACCATCTTTTCTTTGTCCTAGCTCTAGCAAAGAGTTGCACTCATCAGTTGGTGACAGGTGTCTGGGGAGAGGTTTCTGAGCAAAGAAATATCAGATGCAGACCTCCACAAATCTATGTGGAGTTCAGTAGAGTTGTAAGCATTCATAAAACCACCCCTATGTTTACAGTGTGATACTCAAGATAGCGTCACAGAAGGGAGTACGGGCACATCTTGGCAAAAGAAAAGCAATTTGAAGCAGTTTACTATTACTCAGTTAAAGAGAACATTGATACAAAATTCTCTAGTGAACATGGGAGAACAAAAATCAGGCATGACCCACCTGAGTTAGCCTCCTGTGAGCACAGTTCACTCCTCCAGTTACGATCATATTAGGCATCAATGGTCTGGGATAGTGGAACACGAAGTCTAATCGCAGAAGCCCAATGGAAGCCTTGCGTAAGAGATCTGGCACAGTCACATCCTGCTGGAGGAACTCAGAAGCCAGTTTTGCATATGGTTGAAGGACAAAATCACAGAACAAATAATTTGGAATGTCAAAGATTAAATTCTTCACCCGCTGGAGGATGTTCACGTAGTCTGTAAGGTCTGTAAATGCCCTGGGGACATAAGAAAGGGGATTGGGACATTGAGTGGCTTCAGATTCTAAACCACACGGTATTTGGTTACAAAAAATACACGGAAGGGACGGAGAGATGCTCAGCTGTGATCTGCCTGCATGGTAGCATAGGGTCTGTAAGGACGGCATCAAACCTTCTTTCCTCAAGGTATCTGAGAAGCTCTTTTTGGACAGTAAGTGTGCACAGGTAGAGAGGTACATGTCAGCTCTGCACTTTTAAACAACCACCTCTGCTACAGCCTAACTTGTGATCCTTGGAGGTATTTGCTCTGTGGTCAACGGATAATCACTGTTTTGATAAAAGACTGCATAATAAGTACTAGAGTCCAGCGATTTACGAGGGCGGGTGTTAAACATGGTTGCACCACATAAGCTCCATCTGTTTCTATCTGACAAGCTTTGGCAGACAGATTGCCTTTGAGCAGGATCTGCCAGCCCACCATAGACCCTTCAGGCTCATGGAGATTGACTTTTCTCTGAGATCTCCCATAGCCATCACCAAGGCAATATCTTCTGAGGCCTGCCTGTCAACAGGGATGATGCTTTTTAGCCTGAGAGTCCACCA